GCAGCAGGTGATTTAAATCAACCATACTTTTGCCTTTTGCAAAAACAATATTTATTTATTTATATGCATTCATTTACGCCAATCGGCTGTACACTCGTACATCGTTATAACTAATATAATTAACTACGTATACATAAGTGAAACGTAAAAATTTAATTGAAATGCCTTAAATTTGTACGAAAGGCTAATACCGAACCCCCAATTTAATGTACATTCTCTATCTTTTTCATTAAATTTTTTCATATTTCTGAGAATGGAACATACTGTCGCTGAAAGTTCATTTCGGTCTTTAAATTACTTGCAACTCATAAGGCATTTATCTATAGTTCCGAACAGGATCTATCAACAGACGAAAAAAGTAAGTTGAAGTTGAGTTAACAACTCAAAGGCGTTCAGAACTTTTCTCAGTGGCCCTCCAAGAGAGAAAAACACAAAAACCCCATGGAAGAAATGTTCTGAACTAAAACAATGAATCCGCCTTGAGAGACGTAATTCAAACTGACCATTTGAAAACACCTTTACATACGTACCCTTGGTTGAAGCTGATTGTGCAAGGATGCTTGGTGTTATTGGTTAGATACCAAAAGGCCCCACACCCGAGTGCCGTCAGACGAAAGATGTTACATTTTTTTTTTTTTTTGTATGCTTCCCTACTTAAAATAGTCTAAAATGAGATAAATTTTAAAATTAAAGTCGCTTATCCATCTACATATATATATAATACGCGAAGGCATTTTGTGTTTCGCATAAAATATATGCGAGCAGTTGAACCACATCTCGAGCTCATTAAGTACCGCCGCCGAAGAAGTAGTCGGATTTCAGCGAGCCCGAAAGAACAACTGGTACGATGAGGAGTGTCAGGAAGCTGTAGAGAAAAAAGATGCCGCCTACATGGCCACGCTGCGATCGGGCTCAACGCGCGTTATGTGGGGCCGCTATAGGGATCTGAAGAGGGAAGCGAGACGTTTTATGCCACAATAAGAAGAGAGAGGCCAATGGCCCTATTCTGTATGGCAATTGGTGTCTAGTTGCTGGTCTAGTAGCCGTGGCTACCAGTATCGTACTTTGTATTATGTATAGCGATTAATCTCAACACAAGGCTTAAAATCATCCACATTTTTAGGCAGAACATTTGTTTACAATTTTCACATAACTCCAATAAATTTTTAAAAAGTTAATCATAAAATATTGTTTTAAATATATCTGTGCCTTAAATTTTTAATATTTCAAAAATCCGCATATTCATATTTCCTAAAGTATTATGCAATGAAAAAATAACTTAGTCTATTTTTTTACATAAATCAATCTGTAGGATTTTCTCTAATTAATGAAAATATTTTTTTCACCATGATTATATTCTCTAACTAATGTTATGCTTGTTTTAGCATCAATTGCGTTGAATCTGTACGATCCACTAGCACCACAATATAACACTAGCACCTATATTTCCCGATCTAATTTTTGAGTTGTGCCTCTTTTGACGACGGTGTGCGATATGTATACCCAATAAAAATATGAATTGGAAAATCTACCACATCTTATTCAAATCTACCACATTTTTTGTCGATTCTACCACACTAAAATAAAAAGGGGTTTGCACACTGGTATTAATCGAAATTTTGAAAAGCTTGAAGCAAGATGGCGTAGAACCCTCTAAAAAAAATCGACTTTTTTCACTCTCTTGTTCTTACGTGATCTTGTGTCTTTCGTTCATGTACAAACATATGGGGCCAAACGAAATGTTTTTAAGAAGGTAATAGTTTGCAAATATTTTGAACAAGGTTGCCAACTGCTTGAAATGTCGAATTTAGTTAACTTATACACAAATTATATGAAACATTAAAATATGAATGTCAAACGAAAGTGTGTTAAGAAATCTTATTTTCAACGCAAAGACTATTTTTAATATATAAATACGGAAGTAAAACGAAAGAGTGTTAAGAAATATTTAGTCTGAACATTTGGAACGTTTGAGAAGGGCTGCCACCTATTAAAAAAGTTACATTCAAATTATTCAATAAGTTCGGCGAATTATTAAAGGACGGGTTTGAAAACTCTTTATTTCTGACCTTTATTTAGAAGGGTTACAACGTGTTTGAACAATCAAATTCAAATGAGTTCATCTGCTATTGAAACACACGTGTATCACAATGTCAGGCGAAAGAGATTTAAGAGACTAAAGTCTGTTTGAAAAGTCGAATTTAATTATCGTATACACAAGTTTTCGGAAATATTTAGATATGGGTGTGAATCGAAAGAAATTAATGAAAGCTTTAGTTTGAAAATATCTTTAATTAGGCTGGTCACCTTTTCGAAAAAAAAAACCAATCTAAAAGTGTAGGTACAGTATCGGTCATATCTATAGCACGCCATTTCAAAGTGATATTGTGTGCCACTTATGTTTATTTATTTATTTTTAAGAATTTTCAATTAAAATATAGTTCATTCTCAGACAAACCCCATATAAACCCAAGTTTAATAATTTGTAGAAAACTACAAAAAATTGCAACAAATTTTCTCCTGAACTTCAAACTGTTTTCTCGGAACTATTAGAATTTTTTGAGTGCACAGTTTTTTAGCCCCTTGAATTTTAGTCTGATAATGTGTAAGTTTCAAGTGGCTAAAAGTTACCGTAGATTTTTTAGAATTTTTATATATGGAAGCCAATGCGACAAAAAAATTCTAAAAAATTATTCGTAGTCACTTGAAATATGCATATTTAGTCTGTTCCTTTGAACTTCGGACTAAAACCTGTGGAACTGTCAAACTACAATTTTACTCTCTCAAGTGAGAGTAAAAGGAGAACAGATGCAGAAGTGCACGGGAACGCAAAAAGCACTATTTCCTGTAAAAACGTCAGCCGGCTTGTTTACGTGTCATTGGTGCAACACGGATTTGGCTGAAATATCACTAAATAATTATTAAAATCGATAAATATTCAAATATTTCGTTGTTTACTTCCATTTTTTTTACAAATATAAGGTTCTTTGCTTTCACCGCTTTCTGTTTTTGTTTGTACATGCAAATCAGCTGATCGTTTGACACTTTTCATGAACTTACAGGAAAAACAACTCCGGACTAAATCCTGTAACTTCTGACTAGGAACAGTTGCTCAGTTACTCTTTCAAAAGTGTTCCCACTTACAGGTTTTATGTCAATAGGAACGACTGCTATTGGAACAGACTAATTATCAGACTAAAATTGAAGGGGCTAAGAAACTGTGTACTCAAAAAAATTCTAACACTTCCGAGAAAAAGCACTTTTTTGTAGTTTTCTACAAATTATTAAACTTGGGTTTATATGGGGTTTGTCTGAGAATGAACTATATTTTAATTGAAAATTCTTAAAAATAAATAATTAAACATAAGTGGCACACAATATCACTATAGATACGCTGCAGCAATAAGGCGGGCAGTTTTCCGTAAAGGACCAGCACTTCACTGGTTAAAATTTGACTGGTCAGAATTGGACATTTGCTTGCATCGAAAATGTCAGCTTTCGACCGGTCCCCAAGGAATCGGTCTAGAGATAGACGAAAAGTACAGTTTGGCAGTGACAGGGTGGTGTTGTCTTGCGATTCAATAAAAAAAAATTTAAAGACCACCACCTGTATATGTCGCAGTCGCTTGGTCTGGCCTTTATTCAAAGTGAACATGTGTGGCTGTAGCTCAGTCCGCAGAGATGCTTGCCACTATTTGTTAGCTTTCAGGAGGGTCCGGGTTCAAATGCCATCTGAGGCAACATGGGTATAAAATTAGGATTTTTTTCCGAAATATGAAAAAACATCTGTGAAGTGCAGAACGCAATCTTACTCCAACGAAAAAAATCTCCAAAATTGGACTAGTCTAGGACTATCTTACGGTCAGTGTTGATTGGACCGGTCCTTTTCCAATGGCACGCCATTGCTAAAAATTGCAGTTGAAACCATTGGCAGGGGAATTATGAGGGACTAGTGCTGGTAACAATAGGGACTATCTGAGGGCTAACCTAGGGTGAGTCGGAATTGCTGCAGGGTATGACCGATGCTGTATATGGATGTGTATTATACGGGAAGGTATTTTGTGTGATAGTTATTCGATTTTCAGCGTTCTTTAGAATTTCAAAAATGAGAGGTCAAAATAAAGATGTAGATGTGCGATAAAGTTTTTACTTAAGATCTTTTATATCGGTAAAGGGTGATTTGAGATTTGATGAAATTAAAAACCTACACTATGCGAGACCTCTCTTCACTATAAAACGGCTACACGGATTTAGATGAAATATGACGCTTTGATCGCTTAAACTGTGACCAATATTTGAAATATTTTTTAGTTTTTTAAATTCAATTTTGGGCGTTTTTGGGCTGAACGAGAGCGTATTCGAACGAAAAAACCATGCAACAAATATCGATTTGAGGTACGTGGCTTGGTGCCACCCCTGGCTGCATCGATTTTTCGATTGTTTCGAACCAGTTTTAAATTCGTCCACTTAGATATAAATTTATAATGAAAAGTTTTTGTGATTATTTTGAGGAACTTAACAAATGGAACTTAACAAATTTGAGTACCACTGAATGTGAACGGTTAGAAATACAATAAGTAGCTCAATCTTTAAGAAAACGAAGCATGTTTATTGTTTTGCTTCTTGCATCAAAATATAATTTTTTAGAAAGTGGACTTAGCAAGCGATAGGTAGTTTTAAAAAGGGAAATAAAAGAGTTTAGTAAAACAATTACATTTCCGATAGATTCGTTTTTGGCGATAAAGCTGTTGTACTGAACTAGTAATTTGGTTCACTACATCTTTTCCAACAGTACTTTCGAAAGTATCAATTTAATTTTAGAGTGTCAATTTGATTTTAGAAAATTGTTTATACACGAAGATTAAAGCCTAACCTTCTGAAAGCTCTGGTTCACCTAGAGTTGACGTGGTATTTTTATATTAAAAACGTGTGTATTAGGGCTGGGATTATCAGCAAACTGCACGTATTTATAAAATAGAAATATGTATGTGCTTAATTACCTTTAATTCCTGCTCTAAAATCTGTTCCTTTAATTTGTGTTCTTTTAATTTCCATTTATGCTTCTCCAATTCCCATTGATGCCTCTCAACATCATGTTTATGTCTCTCTGCATCCCATCTGTGCTTTTCTGCAGCTCGCAGTTCCTCATTTTCCCAAAATAAGCGCTCTGTGTTAGTCGAGGACTCTTTATTTGTCCTGAAATAACTTGGAGAATATGATATCACGTTTTCATTTGGTATTGACTTTTCTGAACTCGAGTAAAACCATTGGTTAGGGTGCTCCTAAAAGTTTTTTTTGTACTTATTATTTGTTCTTTTATACAACGGTGTAAACAACTTACAGTATCTCTAGATTCAGTATCTTGCAGCCGTTCATCCTCTATGATACCATTTTTTAGCTGCTTCAGTTTCCGTACCATATGTATTTATAGCTACCATAAAGAAATAAAAAATAACAAGTAAAATCTCTACCCCTCGAATATTATCTTTTCATCCCTTTTGAGCATTTCAATTACCATTACTATCAGCACTTGTTTTGCTGTCCGTTGCCAAGCCTAATATTTCGGCTACCCTATCCAAATGTTTCTTTCGTTCCAATTGCTTTTGATCACGTTTCAAAACTACATATTTTTCTCGCAGATTTTTTGCGCCTCTTCTCAAGCCAAACTTCCTGGTGAACTCCAAATCTATTTCATCCCATGCCTTGCGCTTTGTCACCCAGGTAAATGAGTCCGATAAGTTAGATTCAACTACATTTGATTTCTGCTTTACCAAGGTAAGCAAAAAGTGTTCTTCAGCAGGCGTATAATTAGGTAGCCTAACTCGAATTTTACTATCGCTCATTTTAAATATGGATCATGGAATTCCACTAGACTAACACAATCGGCATATATTTTACATGGTCGTCATAAAAATCTGTGGGTTACATAATATAAAAATAGAGAACTGTTTGGTAATTCAAATTTAGGGAAGACTTAATAGTTTAAAAGCATTTACGTTTCCTAATTATGGTTTTATCCCAAAACAGATTTAAATTAGTAATAGCTTCCCAAATCGGCTGAAATACCTCTTGCAGATAGAATCAATACATTTTCCCAAATGTTTAGGTCAACAAGCCTCAGCTTATTTCTATCACCAAAAATGGCTAAACTAAGTTGAGTTGGGAGATATCTGTCCACACACACAGCGTATTCGTGACTAAGACCAAACCTGGACTTTAGTCAAAAGTAGTCTTAGGGCTGGGTTTTCCGAATCAACTTAGTTTAGCCATTTTTTGGACTTAATAATAAGTTGAGTTGGAGAAACCAGCCCTAAGTGTTTGTACATTTTTTTTTTTTTGTATCGGGTCACCCATTTGGAGAAAAACCCGAAATCATTGAACAAATAAGGAAGCAGTACCCAAGATTTTCCCCAAGGAATCTTCTTTATCCAAAATCTAAGCTTCGAAGGATGGTTGTGTAAAAAAATCTTTGCAAAAATAATCGGGATAGCATAGCCAGAATGGATCTGGTCCGACTTTTTTTTGGGAGTGCGACCGAATGTTACAAGTTGGGAAACGCCGTTATGCGTTGCCACAGGCAAGGCGACAAATGAATCTACACAATCACAAAACCCTCACCTGACGTTAACATGAATGCATATAAACTCTTCTTGATTGTGCGATGGCGTCCAACGCAATAACTTAAAAGAAAACGTATAATTACCTTAAATAATTTCCGCTAATTTGACGAAATTCACGCAATTTCTTCAGGGAAGTGCAGCTAGAGATGTGAGGAAAGAATTATTGCAATGAAAACATCGATTTCATGTTGTAAAAGTGAAAGTACATAAGGCCCGTTTACATACAACTTTGGCGTTGCGTTGGCGTTGGCGTCGCTTCGACAGCTGACTATGAATACATGCATTTATATGAAAGTCTCCATATAACCAAAGTTGGGCAACGCCAACGCCAACACAACGCAGAAAGATGGCCAACTCTCAACTTTTCGCGTGCGTCGTTCGTCAGCTGTTCTAAATAATCAAAATTATGTGATTTAATTTTCATTTTTAATTAAATCCGGGCAAGAAATATAGTTTTTAATGCAATTATTGATGTAAATTTTTTATTTATCTGCCGCTAGTGTGTTAATTTAGTGACCAAAGTATTCTCTGCTACGCGTTCATTGTAGCAAGCACGGGCGTTACTCGCGCTGCTGTCAAAGCGACGCCAGCGCCAACGCAACGCCAAAGTTGTATGTGGACGGGCCTATACCATTGCGACAGCGTAAAGGCCCCGCCAGATGGAAATTCTTTACTACGTCACAGGGATGATTTTGACTGACAAGACGCACATAACATGGCGAGGCGGCACAATGAAAACGTTGCCGCAAACAAAACGGCTCATATATTGGCCAAAAGTTAGCTGGTTTGAATTCGTTTCATACATTGTTGTTTTGCCGCATTCACGCGCGTCAAAAGTTGAGAGTTGGGCGATTTTTATCAGTTGCAGCAATGCATGCGTTGCCAATGCGGCGTCTTCTATTCAAAATCACAGAGTTAACTTCGATGTCAGTCAAAAGCATCCCTGTGACGCAGAAAATAGATTCTTTTTGGCGAGGCCTTAACCCCACCGTCAACATCACCGTCAACGATGATTATGCGTCAAGTTACACACAATTCGTTTGACATTGCGCCCGAAAAATCATTAACTTGCTGATACTCTTTGCAAAATTTGCATCTTACTTTTTCACTTCCTCCATTAGGTTCTCCTCCATTATTTTGTACATTTCGTGTTTCCATAAATATTAAAATTTTCACAAACTGGAAATATTTACGTTCAAACATGTAAACAAAACAATGGCTGCGTTTCTTTATACATTCCGGTTAATCCCATTTCAAAGCCGGAATAAACAGAATGCGGGGTGGAAAAATTTGCTATGGTGTACAAATAAATTGAATTTTGCTGCGCCAAATGCAGAGTAAAATTTTGACAGTTGAAAAACCAAACAAACGCTCGTGCGAAAGCTTTATTTTTGTGCGTTGCTGAAATGCTTAAAATTTATATTTATTTTATAATTTGCAAGTAACGTACGCTTTTTTTATGCTGTTTCAGCTTTCATTTTCATGTTCACTCGTTATTACCGCCAAGCAATATTATGTGTATACATGGTTATAAGCTGTCAAATTTTTACCTAGCCCCATGAGCTAGGTAAAATTTTGACGTTCGTATTCACCACGAGAAGTGTCAAATTTTTACTTTGATCCGTCAAAATTTTCTATTTTCTATCAATTGGCACAGGGCCTAAGTAAACAAAAAAGTTTATTCCAAATGTTCAGAATGAATAAAGAAATGACAGCCAATGGATAGTTGTCATTCGACGCAATCGCATAAGCAAAATTAAGAGTACTGCCAATATAGGAGTATTACATATATGATAC